TTAATTATTGAAATGTTTGAGTTTAAATTTCAATTCAGTTTTAACAAATTTATGAAATATTAATTACTAACAGTCTAACGTACTTATATATACATGTATGCAAGAGATATCTAAACTTCAATAAAGTTAATACTACATCATTAAGTTTTCATAAATATATTACATGTGTATTTATTAAAAACAATAATATTCTTAGTAAATAGCTCCTACAAATAATACAATATTATTTAAAAATATATACTTGAAAATTTTTGTGTACACTTAAAAACAGAAACTGAAAAGCACTCTATTGATTTTTATATAAAAGAATAGCATATGAAAGCATATTTGTATTTTAATGTGATCTTATTTTTACATAATGTGATAGACATAATTATAAGGATAATTATATAAGGATGTATGTGTTGTGTGTTAAGGCTGATACAACAGAATATTATAAAATAGAAAATTAAACTATTAAACATTGATATTTGAATATTAATATAATGACATCTGAATAGATTTTTATTTAATTACATATATATATGTATTGTTTACTTGATAAAAAATCCTGTCAGTTCATAAAAATGTTGTGAAACTATTTAAAAAATTGAACTACAAAGTGAATGTCTAGAATAATATCACATAACTATAATTTGTAGTCAATTTTGTATGCATGATAACTGAAAGTTGCGCCAAGAAATTACGAATTGTCATAATTGCATTGTATGAGGTGTTTTGATTGCACATTGTAGATTTTTTGTCATGTGCAACTTTCATTTACTCAGTACTAACTATATATCTTCAGTTTTATCTTAAACATATTGCTACTAATTTGTAAGATGCGTGTAAAATATGTTCCTGCAATATTGATCCATTGTGTGCTAAGGTGTTAGGAGGAGTGCCGACTTTCAACATATTTATGAGACACATTTCGTAATGTTACTTCCATGTCGCTAAGTATTTTGCAGGTGCAGCGCAGCATCAGCATCAATTGAGTGATAATTGATACAAATTTCATGAACAATTTTTACGTTTCATTAAGGAAAAAAAAGAATTATTAAGATATATGTGTAACATAAAATGTAAAATTAATGAGTGGTAAATAAAGAATTTCTTGGCTAATATATAGAATTTTAAATATTTTAATGAAAAGAGAAAGAAAAGGATGCATCTTTACATATCTACTATTTATTTAAATTTTATAAAATCAATACTATAAAGTTGATATGTAATAATGCAATTACAAATCCATCAAAGAAAAAGCATATATAAAGGCTGGCATAGCAGTTTATTAACATTCAGTACCATTCAAATTGATATTTCTTACATTTTAAGTGTCAACATGTAATGCTATCAGAAGAATAAATTTCGTTTATATAAATTCGTAATATTTTAATAACAGATATAATTTAATATTAATATGTATTTCTCTTTTATTACAAACTCTGATTTTTGTATAATCTCTGAAGGCATATAATACACATGATCAATTTTCAAAATGTTTTTATTAATATTTAATAATGAAAATTCTATAAAGGATATTTATTAACAAAATATATTGAAGATCTGAATTTGAAACATTATAGGCTGCGTTCGGAAATATCGCTCATATGTTCCCGATGCCTTGGATTTATCATCTTGTCCTTGTTCAACATAAACATTCGAAGGCATCCGAACGATGTTTTCGAACGCAGCCACAGTATGACAAAATAATTATTTTAACACCTTTATCTCATATACATGTCCCTTCAACTATATAGCAAAATGAAGATTAACGGGTTAGCCTAATTTTTTAGAAAGTACAAAAAGTAAATTGTATAACATATAATACACAAACTATTTCAGTTTATATGATTCCAGATTACATATACTGATCAAAATATTTTAAATATAATGAATATGAATTTAAGAATAATTTAATAATTACATCTTTTTATAATAATGTCAATACATAAAATTATTCATTCAAACATCAATACAATTTTATTAATTACTACTTGCTCAATATTAGCAGCAAAGATCGACATTGAAAACGTCTATGCTTGGTGCACAGCCGCAATATATGTTGAAATTGCTTGCAATGGTTAGATCTAAGGTTGAATCCAAATTAGTAGATATTACAATGAAACATGTTACACAAGAGCATTATATAAATTCTATAAAACAACAATTAGTTTAATATAATCATCTTTTCTTTTTGTACTATTAATCATTAAAATATAAATCTAATGTAAATGTGGAAGTTTAAACAAATATTTTAAATGAATAATTATTTTAATTAATTCTTCCTACGAAAGTAATTAACTAGACTAGAATCTGAAATATAAATCGTAAAGGTAATCATCATTTATTAAATAAATTGTAAAAATAGAGATATTTTAAAAGATAAACATAATTGATTAATTCTTTTACTTTCTGTAATAATTTTAATGTAATTCTGAGGTCGTAAATAACACTTTAAAATAATATCAATAAAATACATAATTATATAGAGGATGTTCTAAAATTTGTGAATCAGGATACTACAGCAAGAAAGTTTTGGACAAATTAAATAAAAAAGTTATATAAATTTTTATTTTAAGCAATAGTTTCTTGAGATATAAGAGTATAAATATGGGTAATTATAAACTATACGTTTGTTTGAATGTCTGTGAGTATTAATGAACGTGTTGAAGTGCACTAATATCACCACACACGCGATTCTTGGACAGATAGTTGTCTAAATATAACCCGTAATTAATCATATTTATATAAACTCTTATTAAAAAGAGACTAAAGTAATCTAAATAATTACTGCTTAAAATAAAAATTTACAAATAACTTAATTTTTCTTAGTTTATTGATCCCCTACACACTCCCGAAATTTAGTCATTTAAATTCGGGATACCCTGTATGTAATTAGATGAATTATTCAAAAGAATAATTTTTTCCTCTTTTTCAAATAAAAAATTAATTTTTTCTATAAAATTATATCTAAATATTACTATTACAAGCTATATATTTTATTTTTCTAAAATAATAAACTTGCTTTAGTTTTATTAGTTTATCTCCTACAACTATTACTAATTTTGATAATTTTCGAAATTAATTATACATATAATGTTGTGTGATGCAGAAAAAATATCTATTTCTCAATTCAGATCTTCAATTCAGTCACAATATCAACTCAATTGTAAAAATTGTTAAAATTTTGGATTTATGGTTTTTATGTATTTTGTCGATTGTAATCTGTCTTTACTGTATAATTATAATCATGACCATATAATTTTTATATTCATTTGGTCTAAAGAACAGGATATAGGATTTCACTAAGATAAACATTGACTAGTATACCATGTGGTATTTAATTTTCAAATTGGAAAGCAACAGCTATCGTTAAGAGTTTAATTCAAGCGTTTCCAAAATTGATTGACATAAACTTTGCAAATTCGGTTGTGTTGTATATTCTGTATGTGTTTTTTCCAATAGTTTTAAAGTTTCTACTCCTCCTTCTCTGATCAACATCACACAATAACGTTTTGCTGAAAATAAATATTACGATATGATTATTACGACATGATAATTATTATGTTATTTATTTCAATAATTTTCTCAAAAGTCTTAATTTCAGAATTAAAAAAGTTACAATTTTATTATATAGTTAGTATCTAATTACATTTTTATATAAAATAAACTACTTCTTAAAATTTATATTATATAAAACATTATTTTTAAGCTTACGGTTTTTTGTGCACACGTGATGAATTGCCCATACTGCCCAGAGTTGAACGGGATATGCATCTGTACAACGTAACAATGGAAAAAATGGTTGGAAGCTGCGATAAGCAACCATTTCTCCTTGTGGTGTTTGCCAATGAGTTACAGCATGAACCAGTTGATCCAATAACTGCTCTCTGCTCGGTTGTGATGGCATACTACACCAAGATCGAGGACCATCACTAAGTAAATGTGCAGCGATACCAGCTGCGAAATAAGATACATCAATGTGCTCGGAATCAAGCAGCATAGAAAGCATTTTTATAAACCGAGGTTGCATAAGTCGTGGTCTCAAATGATCGACCTAAAATACAAAAAATAAAAACATTACATGTTGACACAATGTTTCACTAAACATACAATATACATATTTTTCTATTACAGGATTATATATTCATATTGAAGATTGATACAAACCTCTGCTATGTTGTTTAACAAACCAAGAACTTTAGTTTCCACACTAGATTCTCCTTGGAAGCTATCCAACACTTCAAGAAATAACTCCATTCCACCTTCATCAAGAAAAACCTTGCATGTAGCAGCACTCTCATCCGTTAAATTCCAAAGAGCGCTTAATGTAAATTTCATTGTAATATCTACTAATTTGGATTCAACCTTAGATCTAACCATTGCAAGCAATTTCAACATATATTGCGGCTGTGCACCAAGCATAGACGTTTCCAATGTCGATATCTTTGCTGCTAATATTGAGCAAATAGCCACAGACATACGATTCATGGATGCATCATCAAATGTTGACAAGCAATTCATAACTAATCTCGCACATCTGTTAAATTAAAAACTTGTAAATTAAAATCTTTTTTTATTTATTTGTATATCACGAAGAGAGAAAGAGATATA